GGTTTTTTTTTTTTTTTTTTTTTTTTTTTTACATCACTGTGTTGTAGGAGGACAAGTTGACCTTATTTATCATATTATACATACATATATACATATGTATATATGTATGTATAATATGATAAATAAGGTCAACTTGTCCTCCTACAACACAGTGATGTAAAAAAAAAAAAAACAAAAAAAAAAAACGCAAGTCAACTCGAATTGCGTACAGTAACTGCTGGGAATTAAAAAAAGAAAATAGACAGAATTTCATTCAATTTTGTTCCTTCCCTTCTCAGTCAATGTCGCATACTGCACTGTGTTAATAATTCAATGAATGATTCACTGTTCCCAGGTAGGGAGCTGCTCTGGTTTTCTGTGGGACAGCTCATCTGGGATTGAGCTGAAGGATGTGTCAGTGTTGGAAACTCCTGTTGTCAATGGACATGGGCCTCATACTTACCCTGCCATGTACCTGGCTCACTTTTTGGTAAGCAAGACTATTTATTCAAAAACACTATGTAATGGAAGTTGATATGTTTAAACATAGCAGTCGGGAATATGACTTCTTATTTTCAAAAGCCGCTACAAATTGCCATCAGATTAATGTGGAATAGTACCGTGTTTTCCGGACTATAAGTCGCAACTTTTTTTTCGTCCTTTGGCTAGGTATTAGCCGTACCAGTATCTGCTACTCCCGCACCGCTGAAAATGTACACGTTCGTTCTTTTCACACTGGCAGCCGCTAGAGGGCACTCTACGTGGCGGGTGCGACTTATACTCCAGAGTGACTTATATATGTTTTTTTCTTCTTCTTCTTTGTTATGCATTTTTTGGCTGGTGCGACTTATACTCCAGAGTGACTTTAGTCCAGAAAATACAAAACTGAACTAAAAAAAAAAAAGTTTTTTAATTTAAATTCCACTTGCTGTGCTAAATTTGAAATTTTTAACTCCAATTTTTACGCTGGTCTCCTTTCCGGGAGCTGAAGTCCTTTGGCTGGGTATTAGCCGTACCGGTATCTGCTGCTCCCGCACCGCTGAAAATTTACACGTTCGTTTTTTTTCACACTGGCAGCCGCTAGAGGGCACTCTACGTGGCGGGTGCGACTTATACTCCGGAGGGACTTATATACTTTTTCTTCTTCGTTATGCATTTTTTGGCTGGTGCGACTTATACTCCGGAGTGACTTTAGTCCAGAAAATACAAAACTGAACTAAAAAAAAAAAAGTTTTGATTTAAATTCCACTTGCTGTGCTAAATTTGAAATTTTTACGCTGGTCTCCTTTCCGGGAGCTGAATCCCGAACTTTGGTCAGATTTGGAATCAGTACTACATAGGGGTGACTTACTCCTATACACAGTATAATAAAGGGGTGTCCAGACTTTTACTTACTGGCCATCCCTGATTTTTTTTGGTTTCGTTTTTGCCATTAGGTGGGCTCCTTCGAGCTGACGTTGGTGAATGTTCACGTGAAGACCACTGCACCACAGGGAGAATCGAACAGCAAAAACCAGAACAAGGACGAAGTCAAGTGTCAGTGGGCGTGCCCAAGTCTGCAGGAGATACTCAAAGGTCTAGCCTTCCGTTAATTCTAATCCAGCGTTAAAGTACTCGGTATCAGTACCAAGTACATAAACTGAAGGCACAGCAAATACTGACCATGTTGTTTCAGTATATTTCATATAATCTTCTTGTATTTCTACAGCCGAGAAGGAGTTGTTGGTGCTGGGAGACTTTGGCTCCTCCCCTCAAAGCCTGGAGTTGGAAATCCTAAGAAAAGAGAAGCTCGGTGCCTTGATACCATCTAGCCAGTTCACAAACATCAGTACCCGCTCGCCACAGGGCACCCAGTGCCTGGACAACATCTGGGTCAGCCGCTCTCTCAGGAAGAGTTTTTCTGGTAGGTTAGTTTTTCCACAGCGCCGTAAGTTCCAGCTTCTAAAATCAAGCGGGTATTCAAATGTATATGTAGACAGGGGGGGGTCCTTCGCCTTACATCGGAATGTGACGATGTAACTCGTAACTTCGCCGTAAGTCAGAAGTTGCGTACGGTAACATAACTACCTATGTTACCAACCTCAAGCTAGCACAGCGCTAACGTCATAATCTAGGACAGGGGTCGGGAACCTATGGCTCGCGATAAATCTTAGCTGGCATTTCTTAACACAATACGTGGTAGTAAATAATTCCGCTGATTATCAAGTAAAACATTACGGAAATCAGAGCGTTAAAATAATCTTTTAAAAAAAAAACAGTTTCGTGTATTTGCAGCGGCAGCGTACTCTCTTTGCGAGGTGTTAAAAAAAAAATGCGGTAAAATCATGAAAAGTCAGTCCATTTTGGAGCAACAAACACACGTCTCGTGCTGGGAGTATAAAAAACATAAAAGTAGAGTTAATGATAACATTTAAATAATAAAATATATACATCTTAACATTTTAATCCAAACTAGCTAGAGCGCTAGAGCTAATCGCATCAAAACCATGCAGCACCAGAAGTCGCATTAATGGTATGAAGTATTTTATATATGGATAGTATAACGTTTTTTTTTTTTTAAATAACTTTAACAACCTTTTTTTTAATACTTCAGAGACTTATTATATTCAAAATCCACTTATTTAGTCGTATTTAGAGCAAAAAAAAAAAAATGGCTCTCACGGAAATACTTTTTTAAAATATGTGACTTTTTTGGCTCTCTCTGCTAAAACGTTTTCCGACCTCTGCTCTAGGACATAAAAACATCAGAAGAGTCTGACTTACGCTTGGGAGCCATAATGAAGCGCAAAAAGACAAAAAAAAAACAACACTAATTAAAGCATGTATGCATGAATGAAGTACAATCCAATGTGTGGCGTACAACCATGAATATAAACAAAGCTGTGGTCCGCGTACAACGCCGGATGATGTTGTATTCGTCCTCCATCCCTCCCCCCTCACTAGTTCCCATGCGAAATTTGTTTTATAAAATGTATGTCGGGAATGATGGGACAAGAGTACGACTAGTAATTTTATGGATGATGGTAAACTATGTAATGCTGTCTATACATATATATATTCACATACACATATATGTATGTGTATATATATATGAATGAGAGAGAGGGAGACAATTCTAAAACTTTGTCATATATATTTACCCCTGCGACCACTTATGGGTCATGACCCGCCATTTGAGAAACACTGATTAACCATCATTACATTCCTTTCATTCAGCTGAGCATGCTCAGCCTGCTCA